ATTGGAGGAGCTCAATCCTCGAGGTCGGAGGCGCGTGATATGAGGAGCTCAATCCATACATAGGGTAAATAGTCGTTCTGCGAATACCCATCAAGAACTCATATATATTCATGAAAACATAGAGGGTTCAGATCTGAAATCAAGGCAATCAGGCCCTAGTGACAAGCATTAAGCATAGGATCAAGCCCTAGGGGGTGGCGGCGCCCTGTTGCCTTGTGGGAACTGGTGCCCCCCTCAGGTGGATCTTTGCTCCAGTATTTTTTATATATTACATAGAAAATTTCCAAAAAGTTTCGTCCAATTCCCAGAACTTTTATTTTTGCACAAAACAACAACATGATAGTTCTGCTGAAAACAGCGTAAGTCCGGGTTAGTTCATGCAAATCAGACTCCAAAACAAGAGCAAAAGTGCTTGGAAAGGTAGATACGACGGAGACGTATCACTAAGGTATTATCCTAACTTGCACAAATACCTACTTATGATTATACTCTCCATGCAAGCATCTAGAACTACAATATAAGTAATTAAGATAAATCTAACCAGCATTAAACAGTTGGATCCAAATCATCCCCTTATGGAATAATTCATAAACCAAAGTTTTGGTTTCTACCACTCCGACAACCCATCATCTACAAACTAATTCCACAATGCTTTCCCCTAGGCCCAAAGGTGTCGAAGTGTCATGTTGTCGGCGTTCACATAACACCACTAGAGGAAAAACAACACAACTTAATATCAAAATATTTAATGGTGATCAACTTCACGTGATTAATAGTAACAAGACTTCTCCCATGTCTTCAAGAACAAATAGAACTACTCACAACTCATCATATTGATCATGATCAGTGGGTATAAATATATGATTAACAATCTGGACGTAATAATCTTCCACTAGTTAAACCAACAAGCATCAATTACAAGATGCAATCAACACTACTAGCACCCCTCCCCGTACCAATATGAGATTTGATAAAAAGAACGAAGACAAAGGATGAACTAGGTTTTGAAGATGAGATGGTGCCGATGAAGATGGTGATCCCCACGATGAACGAAGTGTTAGTGATGACAAAAGCTTCAATCCCCCCCTCCCGGAGGAAAGTTTCCTCGGCGGAATCGCTCCGCCAAAGAGCAAAAGTGCTCTGCCCAAGTTCTGCCTCGCAGATGACGACGGGAAGTCCTGAAAATTTTCTGTGATTTTTCTAGGGCAGGGGCAAAAATGGGCCTGGGGCAACTGGTCCTGGGGCAACTGGGGCTGTAGCCCCAAGCGTGGCCCAAGTAGCACCTGTACACATAATAGGAAAAAATTCAGAATTTGGGCTACATAGAAGCTCAGCCCCAGGCTTCACGTACAGGCCTTCAAGGCTTCACGTACAGGCACAGGCCTTTTACTTGCAAGTGGCCCATGTAAAACCAATCGCCCAGTTTACGCTTCGATCTGTAGCCTGATCGTTCATCCGTGAAGTCAATTAAGAAAGAAAAAAACACCCCTCGCCTGATCGCGGCAACAGAAACCCTCCCCTTGCTCAAACAGAGCGCCCAAGTGCTGCGCCGCCGCCCGCCGCCCTCCTCAACCCGCGATTGGCGATTCCCCGCCGCGCTGGTGGCCGGGTCCAGTGTCCTGCCTCCCGCATCTTGTTCTTCTCAATCCTGGGTGACAACGCTCTCTGTGCTGCACAAGTAATATCTAATCTGTATCATCAAATTTTATTTTCTCTAATTCCTTTATACCAGCGAAACTCAAGTGAGTTATATTTATTTAGTCAATTTTATTTCATTGTTGTCAAGAAATTAGAAATACAAGATGAAGAGGATCCGTACAATTGAATCTTTCTTTCAGTCAACATCCAACCAGCCTGTAGCCAACAATACAACACTGATGTGTCACCTACAGAATTAGTACCAATGGAGATAGTAATGCAAAAGAAAGTGAACCATGTGTGGAGCTTAATCCGGATGACATTAATCCTGATCCCGGCCCCCGAAAACCAATTGAAGAGTTGCATCCAGATGTTAGGGATGCCGCTAGAAGAGAGTATTTGGCCATGGGAGCATGTCGACTAACGGGCCATGTTTATGAACAGGAAAGAATTGGGAAGCAGATGAGAGGCTTTCATGAAGAGTGGTACAAATCGCATGATTGGTTGAAATATAGTGTTGCTAAAAAGGCTGGCTTCTGTTCTCATTGTTTTCTCTTTAAGCAACCAAGAGCTGAAAACTATGGAATAGAAGCATATACAAAGAAAGGATGAATCACCGTTTGGTGTGCTATATTGAGCGTGATGTATTTGCAAGCATTGATGATATTAAGATTATACAATGCTATCAGAAAATGAGGAAACACAAAGGGGCTATTATTCGTGGACTTCGTGTTAATGGTATAATATGTTCTTTTTTTTTGCAAAATTTCATACGAACTATTGATTTAGTCTATGTCCAGTGTCTTGATTTTAAATACTTGATTTTATGTTTGCAGATCCAGGTCCTTGCACTATTGATGGTGAAGAAACGAGGGCCTTGAATTAAGCAAGTCTTCACTAATTTGGTACCAAACCATGTTTGCAATGATGCACTTTGTTAAACTATTTCTTTTATGGATTTTCCTCTCGTTATAATAATGAATTTTAATGTCGTCTTCAGTGTGATTTTGTGTCATACTTATAACGCACATTGATGTGCCTACTATTTGACGTTATATTTAGTCAGTTAGTTTTAGCCCTAGGCTTTGAGAAATCCTGGTTCCGCCTCTGTTCTAGGGGTAGATTAGATTTTGTGGCCAAAGGGCATCGGGTAGGCCGCGACACCTATCCATGTGGTTGGCTGGTGGGCCCCCTCTGGTATTAGAGCTGCTCAATTAACTTGGACCAGAGGGAGCAACAAACATAACTTCCCTGCCAATCCTATCCTCCGGGAACGATGCATCTCATGCTGGCATCTCCTACCTCGCATCGACTAAAAACTATAGTTATAAAAAAAGGCTAAACAAACTATTTTCTAGATTGACGTCCTGAAGGTTCCAACTTTCCAAGCTAGTTGAGTTCGACGCATTGTTTGAAACACGAAACAGATCTGCTATTTTTTAGGTGAGTGAAAATCCTTTTCACGTCGGTCACCATTTCCCTTCTTCCCTCCCTCTTGGATGGAACTCGTCGAAGAAGAAATAATCTCTCCAGAGAAGAACTAACCCCACTATCAATCTTAGGGTGAAATCATCGGTGGTGCAGGGGATTGCCACAACCCCATTATCTATCTTAGGGGTGGGGTCGGGTGGGATGGGGTGGAGGGGATCGCCGGAGGTTTTCGTGGGTGGTGCCGAGCTTAGAGGGATGGTTGGGCAGTATCCAGCAACGATGGTGGGCAGGTTGAGGGAAGGGCGGGGCGACAAGATGGTGCGTGGTGCGCCCGCCGGGCACGGGTGGTGGAGGCTGGCATTAGCGCGGGGTATGCTGGGCCGTTCGGGAGGAGGAAGAAGGAAGGGATGATTCATGGGTAGTGCCGAGCTTAGAGGGATGGTTGGGGCAGTGGCCAGCAACGATGGTGGGCA